GGTAACCACACAAGCAGGATATAGATCATGAATTTTGTTCTGAACAGAATCACTTTTTCTATCCAAAACAAGGCCAGTAAGTTGCAAGTGGATTGACCACTACCTTTTCTCCAGCTAGGTCATTGACAAGTAATAAACGAATATCCGTAATAGATAAACAATTCTCTGCTCCAACAGTTCACGGGTCCCTAAACTAAGTCGGATGCATTGTCACTAGAAGAAGATTTCTCAAGTAAAGACAAAGTACTTGATAAAAAAAAAAACTCGTGTGTCCAGTAATATTTTATAAGGGATATGCTTAGTAGAATCAGCAATAAGTGATATCAAAACCTCTGATATGAATAGTTCATAAGAATCCAGAATAAAATCAGACTTTGGTTTGTTTGGCACAACGATTGTATTGCTTCAATACATGACCATGGCCTTGACCTCTTTGACATAAGAACATTTGTAAATGCCGCTTTTTTATTTTTCGTATTTTTTTTACCTATGGCAATCATAAATGAGGTGTTCTTTCTTATTACAAAAACTGCATACAGGAAGATAAAAGGAGTTCTGATCGGTCTCATCAGATGTTTGATTTCTAAAAGTTGTGCTAGGTTGATGCTTGAACGAGACTGACTTTTTAAATCAAAAACTGCTAAGAAGACTTTTTGACAAATGAAAAAAAAAATAATCAACTTCCGTCCGAGAAGGATCTTCCAAAAACTATTTCTTTGTGTTCATCAAGATGGTTTTGGACATCACTATGGATACCCTTCCTAAACTCTTCATTCAATTAATACAAGCTTTCTAAGATGAACATTATCTCGGTCTACCTTCTTAGCTAAAGCACCACATATCAAATTGTTCTTTTCATTGCAAATACGACAAGGATTTATAATTTTTTTCAACAATTAAAAAACTGTCGATATGCCTTAGCTACCAACACATGGCCCTTCCAGATATATTCCTGAACTACATCATAATCAGCACTTATCTGTACCGAAAAAGAAAGTGTGGACTTCAGAGGCTTTGCCAATAAGTACACTTTGTAATAACAAAGTCGAATGCTTTCAAGTTTGCAGTTATTTCCTCAAATTGAAGAAAATATTGATATGCTTCTTTTGTTGAAAAAAAGTGAGGGGAGTTACTAACTATGTGTGTGTGTATGTGTGTGTGTGTAGATAGATAGATAGATAGATAGATAGATAGATAGATAGATAGATAGATAGATAGATAGATAGATAGATAGATAGATAGATAGATAGATAGATAGATAGATAGATAGATAGATAGATAGATAGATAGATAGATAGATAGATAGATAGATAGATAGATAGATAGATAGATAGGGTAACATCGGAACCTGAACTTGATTGTAAATTAGGGGTGTTCTCCACCTACTAGTCCTACCTCTTTTAATCTAAATTGCATTTACTTTTATCTCTCTCTCTCTCTCTCTCTCTCTCTCTCTCTCTCTCTCTCTCTCTCTCTCTCTCTCTCTCTCTCTCTCTCTCTCTCTCTCTATATATATATATATATATATATATATATATATATATATATATATATATATATATATATATATATATATATATATATATATATATATATATATATATATATATATAACTGCTTCTCTTATTTATATCTCTGAATTTGTATCCGTCGCTTCTCTGTTTATGTTTGTATTTTAATCTCTTCAATAAATAATTCCTCTCAAAAATATCTCATTGCAACTGCAAACTCTGATCAGAGATTTCCAAAGACATATAAAAAGAATGAAACAGGAATCAATATTTATTTTAAAAGCCTCTGTTTATTCAGACAAAAGGGAATGATCCGGAATTCACTAGATTCGAGCCATTTGTAGTTGGAAAATTCCATCATGTTTTCTAGAATAGTCTGAACTAAAAAAAAAACTTTTCTAGTACCCTTCTGAACTCAAAACAAAATTGATGTAGCATCTTTATTATATATTTTGACTTTTGAGGATTCCTGCTAATTAAAGGAAACAAGAAAATTATTTAAGATATTATAAATATATCAAATGCAAAATGCATGCAGCTAAAATGCATATATAGCATTTAGAAGTTATTTGTTTAAAAAGAATAACTAGATCGTAAAATAACTAGATCGTACGTTATCAGTTCGTTTTTGTTAGGGTAAGTGAAAATACATTTTTGTTATATGAAAAGTTTCTCAAAGCTTTTGTTGATTATTGATTTCAAAAATTGTGATTACTGTTCTCTATCTTAAAAGATCTTAAAAGAAATTTACAATCCATTGGAAATTTGGAAATATAAATACTCTTTAATGATGACATTACTAATTTAACAAAAATTGTTGTATTACTATTGACGGATGATTAAGTTTGATAGCAGAATCAGTGTATATCAGCAAAATTGCTTAAAAGACTGTCCAAGTAAGAATTGACTATTTGTTTTAATTCAACAAACTATGAACTGAAAAATGCAATGCACAAACTTTATGATCTGCGAGGCGGATCATAAAAATTTTGAACAGCATTCTTCGTTCGATTTTTTTTAACAAAATGAACAGTCAATCCTTATAAATTAAATTCAGTATCATCAAGTGTTTAATAAACTAATATTTTTCTAACACTATTTTATTTATTCTTATTTTGAATTTTTTTTTGTAAGGTGTGGTAATACAGAACAGTGAATCACATTGATATATTTAGAGCAAATTAGATGCATTAACTATATTTTTATAATGAATTCTGTGAACGTATGCACAATTTTCTAACAAGATTTTACTATATGCGCCCAATGTATTGAAATCTAATACTCACATGCATTGTGTAGCTCTAGGTTAATTTTCAGTTTTAATATTTATTTATATCATTAACTTTTAAACAATATTTAATTATATCAATATTACTTTATCACTCTAAGCACTGATTTGTCCTTTTTACCGCATGGACAATACAAGTTTGATAAAAATGTCTCAAATTTTCCTTCTTTATTGACAGTTTTATGATATATTTTGCCACCCTCCTTCATCGCATTTTTAATTCAATTCGTTCTTTTTATTCTCCATAATCATTTGAAGGCTTTCATAAGATTTCCTTGAGTTCCATTTTTCTCTTATATATGTGAGTTACACGTGATTTTAATTTTTTCTTATACACATGATTTCATGTTTCACTTTTACGCATGATTTACATGTTTACCTTTTACGCATTATTGTCATGTTTCTCTTTTGCACATGATTTTCATGTTTCCCTTTTACACATGATTTGCATGTTTCCCTTTTACACATGATTTGCATGTTTAAAATCATATAAAATGTTGTTACAAGCCAGAGGTCTTTGCTTGACCGAGCGGTGTCAAAACCCTGGCGCGATTCCCGCTAGAAGTCATAGGTTTACTCAAATTTCCAACCGGGGAGTGGGACCGAACAACACTTTTTATTCTATTAAAGGTAAATTTTATTTGAACAAGATCTAGGAGAGACCCGAGTGTTTCTTACCCCTGTACCTGCGATTGCTCTCTACGACCCTGCAGACCAATAATTATACAACTCTGCCTTTAAGCGTAAATCAGTCGTCAGACATAGTAATTCCAGCGAAGTGAAAGGTTTGAAGCTTGTCTTCGATATTGTAAGGACGTATTTGCAGTGTTGAACATTCATGAAATTCAATACTTTTATACCTTAAATCTCGAAATTATGAAGCAAATCCCCTTTTTTTAAAAGGAAGATTAACAACAATAAATGCTTTGTGATTACCAAGTTTCTGCAGAATTTCGTCCAGAAGTCACCGAAGTTCATTAGTGGAACGTTGTTTCGAGGAGATATAAAAGATGAAACGAAACTAATTTTCTCTGCAAGTTTTAACACAAACTTTCACGAGAAAGTAGGCATGAAAGAAAATAATATCTATGAATAGATATTAAACAAAATATTAAAATGGAGTCAAATTCGTAAATGAAAATTCCATAGAGTAGTCTATTTGTGGTAGAGTATAGAACTTATCATTGAACGATGTTTTCCTGCAGAATTTGGAGACTTCTTGGGAAATGATATTGCCAACGTAGTTTAACAGTTAATGAATTCAATCCATATTGAGATCTGTGTGTTTGCAAATTACTGCAAAACGCATTTCTGCTTCATGTACGACATTGATTATAATGCCATCGCAAGCCAACAAAATATTTCAATGGCATGTGCCACACTTTTATACCTGTCGATAACATTGTGCTTTTTGTATTTTTTAAACAAAATTGTATAGTTCAAAACAAATTTTACCATATATTTTATTTACTTACAAAACATTTAGTCGAAAAGTAACAAAATATGAAGCAAGGCACTATGATTAACGTGAGTTGAACTGCGCTTGGTCAGTTGTTTTTGCATTTATTTAATTTGTATAATTCTCAATAAAGAGCAAGATAGGCAACTAAATTTCAAGAAGATGGTTACAAAAAAAATATATTCAGCATGTAATAAATGGAGGGCATATCACACATTAAATAGCTGTTTCTCATTTGACAAAAAGATTTCACAACTTCTAACAACAAGGTACTTATTGGTCAGAGCCTTAAAACTGTAATCAAATTAATGATGATATTATTCACATCTGAATTTTGTATCACCTTCAAGTGCATAACGGAGAAGATTACTTTAACCTGATTACTTTGAAATTATAGCTACACTGCTCTCAAATTATAAATATTGTAAAGAACAAAACAAATTGTCTGGTTTTGATGTTTTAATGTTATTTTCTTCAAAAGTTCTTTTAAATAATAAAAATTCGACATTTTTAATAAATTCTGTAATGTGATTATGACTTTTAACGTAGCTTTAACAATTTTTCAATCATATCTCTACGATCTATGCAGTGTGGCAGTTTTAGTGATGTCTAGCCGCAGATATGTAGCATATTGTCCCACCCAGTCACATTATCCCTGACATCAAGCTTACCCTAAAACTACCTCTTAAGGCTGAGTGCCAAGCGAGACAGCTGTTAGTACCATTTTTGTAAGTCTTTGTTATGACTCAAACGAGGATCGAACCCACGACCTCCCGCATCCGAGGCGGACGTTCTAACCACTAGGCGATTGGAGATTCTGTCATATTCTTAAAGTTGTATCAGAGCCAGATGAGATTTGTATCAGAACCAGATGAGATTGTCTACCAATCCAAGGCCAGTTGAGATTTTTCTGTTAGCAGAAATCTGAAATCTATCTTTTGATTTGAAGCGAGAACAGAACTAACAAATGTTTGCAAACGTATTTTTGTCATCAGTGAATATACAAGAAAATGAATCAACTGCATCTGCTTCACTTAACACAACATTTAGTTAGTCATGGTTATTTCGTCGTCTTATAGTTATCCAGAGTGCAATTACTTTGATGGACACTTTCTCAAATCTAATTTTCGGTTATAATTTAAATTTATAGTACCAGATGGGAAACATTGCATGAAGTTTACCTTCAATGGAAGCGCACGCGTGTGCACATGTGTGTTTTGGATTTTTAACGTAGCTTTAACAATTTTTCAGTCACATCACTTCGATGTCTGCAGTATGACAGTTTATAGTGATGTCTAGCACTGGGGCATCATGCCGCAGAAACGCAGCATCTTGTCCCACCCATTAATATTATCCTGACACCAGGCCGACCAATGCAATCACTAATCTCTTGATGTTGAACGCCAAGTGAAGCAGCTGTTAGTACCATTTTTATAAGTCTTTGGTATGACTCGGCCAGAGTTTGAACCCGCGACCTTCCGCATCTGAGGCGGACGCTCTAACCACTAGGCCACGAGCTATGTCAGTTGCTTTACATTTAGTTGGCTCTTTAATATCATTACAGAGAAAAGTTAGGATTCCAAATTTACGGAATCTGTCGAACAGCGCGTTATACGGACATATTAGACAATAAAAAGCATTTCAGATATTATAAATTACAGACATCATTACTCTGCCATTTCAATCAACATATTTTGGTTTTTCATATACCAATATTACATCTTTCACTGGAAAACCTCGCACAAGAAAACCATAAGATAACAAGCTTCCATTGTTCACAGATAAATGCAGAAGTGATACCCATGTTTTAAAACAGTTTAAAATGGACAACCCTTTAATAAAATCCCATGGAACTATAGAGGTGATAAAGACGATCTTGGTAAATAAGTTATATCATTTTTGCTTGGATAGTTCCATCTGAGCCAGAGGTTTTAAACTGGTCATAAATATTGTTACGAATAAAAAAAAATAGCTGGTGCTTAACATTTCACGCAGTTATCATCCTCACGTTCTGGGATATTTCATTTCGAAGTTTCACTTGAATTATCAATCATGTCATTACAATTTTATTAATTCAAGGCGAAATCTGTATATCAGTAGTATGATATGTTATGTTTTAAAATGGGTGCAGAACTTGCCAGTTTCTGATATCAATTGATGTTATTGTCATTAATAAATAAATGACAAAAGAAATGGCAATTAATAACCTGTCAACACTGCATTTTACTGCGCATAATTAGTGTGTATTATGATTAGAAACAATGCATATCTAATGAACTGAATAGATTGAGGCTTCACAGTGAACTTGGCTGGAAACATGACTGGTGAATTATTTTATTATTAATTTTCTTGTGTTTTCTTATTACAAAGAAAATTAAGCAATGACGTTTGTCAAATATGTATGGAACTATGTTCAGGATGTAATAATAATAAAAGTAAAAAAAATACAACAAATTGACCTCATTACCCACGTAATAATATATTCAGCAGGTAATAAAGAAATAAAATACATCAAATTAAGGACATCAATACCCTACCGCTTTAATCAAGATATCTCGGTTCTTCACATGCACATTTGGCAGCTCCCACTTGAAGAACATAGATTACCGCAAAAACCTCAAACATCACCCATGTTGCCTCAATGTGGAGTGGGATGGTTGTTAGACTCCTGATAACGGTACTCAAAACCATTGCTGTACCATTAGATACTAAAAGTATTTTCCTAAATAACACTACTAGTTTGCGAATGGCGAAGATGCGGGTTGACATTATATACTGCGACCTTTCCGTTGGTAATTGTGTCAATGTCAAATTCACCGTATTCCGCCTTCGAGTTTCTAAGCATACCATGTGATTACATGTCTCTACTATCATTGTAATGTATACAATAAAGACAGCTTTGATATTCAAATATATACGATAACTCGTACATGAAGCTATTTACAATCTGGAAAAATTATGAGGAATTTACGATTCCAGATTTGTATGTATTGATGTTGTTACATATGTGTAACGTTATGTAGAGATTGTTTTCTATTTCATGTTGAAATACGGACACGTAAGGAAAAATGCAGATGCAAAGAATAGATTAAATTTTGGATGAAATTTAGATTACATAGCTCTACGTTGATGTTGTGATAATGCACTGTACAATTTTTTAAAACATCTGGGATATAAGTGCTGAAATTCCTTTATAATTTTAAATACGATAAAAACATGAATCGATGAAAAAGATATTAGTGTCTGGGTAAACTTAACACAGAGGTGTGTGTTATTATGATCACAACGGTATGTAGAGTTTACATAAGTGATTTACGACCTGTCCTAGAATTGTGACCTATGAAGGATTCTTTGTAAATTAAAGGACTTCAGGGTAACATTTTTCATTTGTGCTACAGATGTTTATTTCTTAGCACATTTCTGCAATCACACAAAGTTTTGTTTTTTTTTTTATAATTTTATCTGTGTTTAATAATTTCATTGTCTTACACCGGTACTATGGTAGACCTGTGTCCAGTGATAGTTTAGTATGAAATGGAGCAATGTATGACTCACGCTTGAAGTTTGTCTTGGAAACGGCTATTATAATCCATATTCACCCATGGACCAAATCGTGCAAACATGACGGTCTGGTTAGATTCGTTTCCGTTAATTCTTTGGACAAAAAATTTAAGAAGAAAAACACAGACAAACTTGTAAAATTAAGTTATTATAAATTGTCACATATTAAATGTCATTTCGTACAATTTTAGTCTGATATTGCATATATTATTGACAATATGAATGCAGGTTTTATTTTCTTCACCAAGTTTTCTCCAACAGTAAAATGACAATGTATAATCAAAGTTTTATGTTCGATATGTTCTGGAAGTTGTGGAGAAGCATATATTATGCATTGAATGTACAAGTATTTTTTTTATCAGTGTTTGAAGAAGAAGAAATTTAAGTTAACCAAACCAGCCATCTGAAGAAAGAAAGAAAGAAAGAAAGAAAGAAAGAAAGAAAGAAAGAAAGAAAGAAAGAAAGAAAGAAAGAAAGAAAGAAAGAAAGAAAGAAAGAAATGAATGAAGAAAAGAAAGAAAGAAAGAAATGAATCAAGAAAGAAAGAAAGAAAAAAAATGACAGGACAAAGTGAAAAAATAAAAGATACAAATAATGTTAAATTCGCATTAGTTTATGTGCCGATCAATTCCTTTTGAAAACAGAAAATGATATGTACAGCATTAACTAATTTTGCTCGTATCATTTTTGGATTGAAGCTTTTCGGTTGCAATTTTTGTAAGTAACTTTGAATAATAATAATAATAATAATAATAATAATAATAATAATAATAATAATAATAATAATAATAATAATGATAATAATAATAATAATAATAATAATAATAATAATAATAATAATGATAATGATAATAATAATAATAATAATAATAATAATAATAATAATAATAATAATAATAATAATAATAATAATAATAAGAATAAGAATAAGAATAAGAAGAAGAAGAAGGAGATAAGTCCATTTTAGCATGTGGTTTCTGTGCATTTGTATCCCACTGTCACAATTCTTCTGCAATCGAAACTTCGTGGTCACTCATGCAGATTATATATCGAATATATAATGATGTGTCATTCGGACCAACTCAGCTATTCACGACAGTAAGAATGACAAACGTTACAAAAGCATGAAATGTATTATTTGCAACTTCTATATCAATCTTGCAGTGAAGCCAGTCGTAGAAAAAAAAGAGGTGGTCCGAATAGTTTGCAGTTTATCTAGCTAGCGCTGCACGTTTGTATTTTGCATGGGGTTATAGTATTAAAGAATAAAAGCTTTCCAGGATTTCGTCATTTGTTAAGCTTGTTATTGAAAAGACCTTGTATGTCTTAGGTATTATGAAAAGATTTTTTAATTCTGATTATTTTGGTATATGACTGATGGATGTAGATTGGATTATAGAGTATACATCTTGACCTTAGTTCAATTATGCATCGAAAAAAAAAATGCTAGCTCCGCATGGTCATTTTCATTTCCTGGACTTTGAAAGTAAATTTTAAAAAAGGGACCAAAAATCTGTTTTACTTGTCATATAATTTAAAATTCTTTCATTTTAATTTCAGAAGTTGGTATTGTCTACCAGGTAAAATTGGGAATCCATATTTTAATAACTGTTAAATATAATGTACTTTATACTAATTCAGGCTAATTTTTGAGCAAATAGGAGCAGCCGTTTTGATTATCTGTATGTTTAGTTCATGTACAGTTTCCACAAGTACAATATTCAAAGAAAGTTTGAAAGTAACATAGATATGCTAACACTATCTCCACTGTGCATGTTGCAATTACGGACAACTTCACCTAACACCTATCAGTTTCTCAGAAGTATATATTATCTGTACAGCAACATGTAAGATTTTTATATAAATTACTGAACCAGCATACATCCGAGGCATATTTTTGTCTCGAAATATAGCTCAAGTAGTCCAAATGAAATCTTTTGTTGCATACGATTTCAACTATAGCCACAAAAGTCAAACATTTTGCCGCTAACAAATATGAATAAACTTAGAATATTGTCAGCCTAAATCATGAAAATTCTGGTTATTTTAATTGCCAGAGTTTATATGTATATACTAATTCGATTGATATTTTTGTATTTTAAGAATGGTTTTCTATTTATAGGCCTTTAGCAGTTGTTAAATTTTTAGCTTGTGACAATAAATTTACGGTAGGTTACAGTCTCGACCTTTATAAGCACGGACAAAATCCTTTTTTTTTTTTAAAATTTAAAACAAAGTAAATGTGCTTAACCAAAAGCAAAAATACTAACAGCGGCTAGCATGCAACAAACATCGGTTGGTTGAAATTGTACTGTGATGCATTGTACAGAAACGTTGAATTAACTGTACATCGTTCAGCGTAAGGTATCAGCTATACGCTCCCCTTTAAAACTCATTACACCTCCATGATAGATAGATGATGAATATGTACAATATCATCTCTAAATATAATTTACAATTTTTATAAATAATTTGCACGACTCCATAAATTTACACTTTTGTATGTACAACAACGATTGTATATAGAACTTCTCATTTGTACAGTTAAATCTTTCAAGAAATCACAGATGTTAGTTAAGCACTCATTTGTCTAATATAAACTACAGTACTGGTTCATGCGGGTAGGAGACAGTCTTGCACGTTTTCTTGCCTAGTCTTTATTTGATTCCCGAAATATCACACAAGCGCACTTGTTCGTGAGTAAGAATTCCAGAACGATGCTAATATACTACATTTTTAACATTCCAATGACCTTGTACTAAATACGAAACCGTTGCCAACTTCGAATTAATTTTGTACTAAAAGAATGTAGGTAGCTGAAGATACAAATAAAAAGAGGTTGTAACATGATTATCCGATGAAGATGAGTTAACCATGAATTACGGAAACTCATGGTTATTTTTTTTTTCAATTTACGTCATAAACTACGTTACAGAAAGTGGTGCATGAGCTGCAGTCCTTAAG